ATTTATAGAGAGAACTAACGGTAAAACAGTAAATATATAGCCAAACAGGTGCTTGTTCACATAGTTGACATGCAATAATGGTCGCAGAGTAGTGGTGGTCGAGGGGACCGTAGTCGGAGAGCGACATTAATCAAAGGGATCATTGTCGGTGGGCAACGGTGCTCGGAGGGACCATTCTAATCGGGCGACGGAGCTCGAAGGGACCATAATCAATATCCGATGATGATCAGAGGGACCATAATCTGCAAGTGATGATGATTGGAGGGATCGTAGTTGCCAGATGACGATTGTTAGAGTGGTGTATTAATAGAAGCTAGGCGGAGGTCCGACGAGGGTCAGTGACAAGGTGGAGATTCGACAGGGGGAAGGTAAAGTTATATCGGTGATCAGTGAATATGCGGTTGTCCGACAACGATAGAAGAGCGGGGTAGTGGTATGATGATGGTCGAGCGGAAGTCGGACAACGATTGGCAAACAGACGGTGGTCCGAAGATCGGTTGGCAGCTGGGTTATAGCTTCTGATCCGACGAAGATCAGCAGACATGCGATGGTCTGGTTGTGATCGGTAGCCAGCGGTGGTCAGATTGACCAACGAAAGTTTACTTGCGATGGTGCTTGGGTTGATCTCTTGGATCGTTGAAGTCTCTGTGCTCTCACTAATCTTCAACCAAACCTCCCCTTAATGAAGGGAGTGTGGGTTTATTTATGAATTATATTATTTAGAATGACACGCCCCATAAATATAGAAAAGATCTAAGAAAAATTCAAAGTATTCCACTAGACATTCCATATTGATCTCATTGATCATAAAATATTTGTCAAGCATTTATGTGTCTAAATATATCATCATCATGTACAATTATATATAGGAATTGACACCGTTTTAATGTCTTTCAGAACATCATAATTAAAATATGACCAATCCTGCCAGATTGGCAGATTCTCTTTATATATATATATATATATATATATATATAAGAAGAGTTCATAAAAAAAATAAACATATTCTTCCAAAAGAAATTATCCTTTAAACTTAGATGAAATATTTTTATTTCTAAATAAAATATTTAGTTTATGGGCAAATATATGGATGAAATAATTTATTTTAAGCTATCAAGAACAATATATATGATCATAAAATTTTCATATGATAAAATACGATTTAGTTCTAAATTCGCAAGCCGTTTGTAATATGATTGAATTCAATTGCTCTATATTTAGCTCGTTAATTGAAATTGTCATCCCATTCAAATTGCCCTTCTTTAAACCTTGGAACCACTTTATTTATTTAACTCCTTAGGTACTTCATCGCCAAGCTTGAAGCGACCAGTTGGTTGAAAGTTCAATCAGCAAACAGCTGGTCGCGGGTTAGAGCATGGCAAGAGGAGGAGATGAGAGAGAAGAATGAGGTATTCTAAAGTACCTCTATTTTTGTTTAATATTTAAATAAATTTTTTATTATTAAGGCATTTAAGCTATTATTATTATGTTGTCTTTAAACTTAAATATTATTAAAATTTTTGTTTTACATTTACATAAAATTTTTATTATTAAGGTATTTAAACAATTATTTTTGTTCATGTCTTTAAATTTAAATAATTTTTTTTATTAATAAGGCATTTAACTGCATCAAGGGAATTTATTTTGAGTATATATTTGCAAGATTTCATTTTCTAGTTTGAAGTATTTAGGCTTGCTGCGTTCTTAAACATTCGTGGCGCTAGAGAGATTTACAATTTAGCGTCCAAGCTTTGTAGGAAAGTCTAGCACACATGCAGATAAAAAAGAGGGGGTACAAGAATAATAAGAGAGAGAAAAAAATTTATGTTGAAAACTCTAAAGAGGATAAAATCCATGAGTCTAGCTAGTTAAAATGATTTTACTAGTGCTTATTGTTGATTACGAATGAGTCACTTCATCGCGGGGAAGACATTTGCTCGATATATCAAATATACATTATAATGGACATATTACATGGAGTGAGTTGGATGAATCTAGTGATATGAGAGTTGTCGTAAGAGTATGTTGGCCTATTCGTTTGGTCCGTAAGACCGTAATCGATCGACTAGCGATGGAGGAGCGATCGAGTTCGGAGGAGTCATAGCCGGCGAGCGTCAGTGGTTGGAGGGATTATAGTCGACGGGCAACATTGGTCGTAGGGACCATAGTTGAAGGGCAGCGGTGGTCGCGGGGACCATAGTCGGCTACCGGCGGTGGTTGAAGGGATCGTACTAGGCGGGCGACAATAGTCGGAGGGACCATTGTTGGTGGGAGACAGAGGTCGGAGGGACCACAATTAGCAAGCAATAATAGTTGGAGGGATTGTAATCCGCAATTGACAAAGATTGGAGGGACTATAGTTGGCGGGCAACGATTCAAGTGGTGTATTAATAGAAGCTAATCGGAAGTCCGGTGGTGGGATCAATGGCTAGGAGGAGATCTGGCAGGGGTTAGCGGTTGGGTAAAGGTCCAGCAGTGATTGGCGGGCAGACGATTGTCATGCAATGATAGACGGCCAGATGGTGGTATGACGATCGATGGTCGAGCGAAAGTCTAATAGAGATTGGTGGTCAGGTGGTGGTCCGACAATCGGTTGGTCGCCGAGCTGTGGTTTGACTGCGGTTAGTAATATGGACGAGGTGTGTCAAAGATCAACTCACAGGCGGTTGTCTGGTTGTGATCAGCGGCTGTTGGTAGTTTGTTTAGCCAACGAAAGTTTTCCTGCGATGGTGCTTGGGTGGATCTCTAGGATTCTTGAAGCCTCAATGCTCTCACTTGATTTGACCCATTTGGCTCTGATTTGACCAATTTTGGCGTCGTTTGATTCATCTCATTGAGATGTTCAATTTGACAATAAGTTTGTTGAAACCGGAGTTCGAATAGTCCCGCATTTAATTTTGAAATTTTCCAAGTTCAATATATCCCAAGATTCGTGCAAGTGCAAGGCGATTTTTGGTGGCGTATCAAGGCTCTTATCTATTCATTCATTTAGATGATTAAATTTAAGCCTGATTTTTTTAAATCACACTTCTATTTGTCTAAGTTTAATTTGAATAGTGTATTTAGTGCCCATTAAATTGCTTGTAAGTATAATATATATTTAAATAATTTATATATGTAAAATCCATTACCCCTTCTAAATCCCAACTATATTATGTGAAAATTCATTGACAAAAATATACTAAAAACTAGCTCTCCTCTAGATATATTGAGTATATTTGAAAGGATCTCTGTAAAAATAAATATTTAATAAAATGAATTGATATTTTTTATCATTCATTCAAAAAAAATATTAGATCTAAATTAATAAGAAATGCATGATAATTGCTAATTAATAAATAAAAATGATATTAGATTATCTCATATACAAAATGATTAAATAATCTCAGTACTCCTTAAATTATACAACAATTTCTTATAAATTTTTTGTCAACAATTCTTTATCGGCCGACAGTGGTTTGGGTTTGCAACACTTTTTCAAAGGCTTGTAAATTCTTTTGAAAAAATATAAAAACATTTCTTAACCTCACATGATTGGATTTGATCTTTTAGAAACTTTTGATCAATCACTATGTGTTTCGTGCACGAGTGGAACACGGGATTGTTGGCGAGAGCAATCGCAGACATGTTATCACAGTATAGATCCGTCGGGTAGTTTTGAGCATTGCCGAAATCTTTTAAAAGCCTTCTCAACCAGATGATGTCCACGGTTAATGCCGCAAGAGCCCAGTATTCTGATTCTGTGGATGAGCGAGCCACTGTACGTTGCTTTTTAACAGTCCAAGAGATCAGTGTATCGCCCAGAAAAGAACAGTAGCCTGATGTGGATCTGCGAGTGAGTGGATCGCCGGCCCAATCCGCATCTTAAAAGGATTTTAGATTCAAGTTAGCTTTGGTAATAGGTAACCCAAAATCTAACGTACCTTTGATGTATCTTAATAGACGCTTGAGCAGATATATGTGCGGCGGTTGTAGATTGTGCATATTTTGGGATAACACATTGACGCTGAAGGCTATGTCCGGCCTTGTGAGCGTTAAGTACTGAAGTGATCCCGTTAGGTGATGATACAATGCAGGATCCTCAAGGAACAGCTCGGCATTGAAGTTGGCGGGAGGTTTCGTGCACGTCGAATTGGCCAGGGCGTTGCACCTGGTAAGATTAGCTATTTGGAGTATAGAAAAAGCATATTTAGTTTGAGATAAGAAGTAAGAGTTACTGAATTTTTGAATATATATGGATGCCCAGAAATTCCGTGGCTATCCCGAGATGCTTCATGGAGAACTCGGAGCTTAGTTTGTGAGGAATGGAGCTGATGCTATCTTGATTGTTGCCGGTAATAAGGATATCGTCGACATATATTAGCAAGAATATTTGCACCATTCCTTGCCGATAAATCAAGAGGGAGGGATCGGCCTGACTGTGCGAGAAACCAAGAGAGACGAGAAACGAAGTGAATGTATTGTACCACTGTCTCGGAGCTTGTTTCAAGCCGTAGATGGCCTTATGGAGACGATATATGTGATCCGGATGAATGTTGTGAATAAGATTCAACCGCTGAGGTTGCCTGATGAAGTCAGTTTTGCTTCTCATAATCATGGGATGAATGGGTATAGTTGTAGTGGCAGTGTGCTGCGAAGTTGTTAGAGGAGGTGAGGGAGTGTCAGGCAACGCATCAAGAATGCTAGATGAGGTGATAGGCTGATTTACCGAGTGAGCATTAGTAGATGTTGTATGAGCATTAGTCTGAGAATGGCTTATAGACGTTGGAATGAGAAGGAGAGGGCAAGAGTTATCAGGAGGAGTAGGAGGACTGGTGGAGATCTTAGAGAAAGGAAATTCAGATTCGTTAAAAGTCACGTGCCTGGACATGATAATTCTGTTCGTAGAGATGTCTAGGCACTTCTAACCCTTGTAAATGTCCGAGTAGCCCAAGAATATGCAAGACTGAGATTTGGGTTGAAGTTTGTGTCGAGATTGAGTAAGATTGAGCGAAAAATATTCACAACCAAAGATTTTTAGGTGGCTGTAATTGGGCTTGGTCTTGTGAAGAAGCTCGATCGGAGATAGATTTTTGGTGGACGGAGACGGAAGCCTGTTTATGAGATAGACGGAGGTAAGAGCTGCATCGGGCTAGTAGACGTAAAGAACGGAAGCCGTGAGGAGAAGTGTCCTGGTCGTTTCGATTATATGGCGATATTTTCGTTCCGCCAAACCATTCTGCTCAGGGGTATAAGGGCAGGACAATTGGTGTAATATGCCGTGCAAAGTCAAGTAGTTCTTGAAGTTATGATTCACAAATTTGGATCCGCCGTCAGTACGAAGAATTTTAATTTGATGGTTAGTGAATTTTTTATATAAGTTTTAAAATTAACAAATGTCGTGAAGACATCAGATTTATGATGTAGAGGAAAAATCCACGTATACCGGGAGTAATCATCGACGAAGATAACATAAAACCGATATCCTTGAGAAGATGTTATGGGTGCGGGACCCCAAACATCTGAGTTAATCATGGCTAAAGGCATGTTTTGGCGATTTTGAGAGATTTCAAAAACTTGTTTATGACATTTAGCGGTTGTACAAAACCTGCATTGCAACAAAGATTTATTCATGTAAACCTGAGGATTACAATTTGAAATGAGATCAAGAATGCGAGCATGAGGATGCCCAAGCCTATGATGCCAGTGATTGATCGGGGTGGTAGCAGCGGAGAGAGCATGTTGAGGAGCATCGGTGTGATTTGTGGGAAGAGAGTAGAGACCACCTTCACATGGTCCTCGAAGAATAACTTTGTGCATCCTCAAATCCTTGAGAGTGAAACCAGAGGGATAAAAAATGATAGATATGTCATTGTCTTTTGTTAGTTGAGAGATTGAAATCAAATTGAATTTGAGGGATGGAGTATGAAAGATTTTAGACAGAAGCAGCTTACGGGTTGGGGTCGAAAGAATACCGGCCCCAGAGTTAGCAATGCCAACGGAGCTGCCATCGCCAATGGTGATATTCTCTTGGCCTTGGTAAGTTTGAGAGATAGCAAGATTATCAAGAGAGTTGGTTAAGTAAGTAGAAGCGCCATAGTCCAGGTACCAGCTTGCCGGAGCAGTTTCGGGACTGGCCAGAAGAGCCGTGTTACCCGTTCTTGAAGGTGGAACGTACTGGGTATTTAGTCTATGCCAGCAAGATTAGGCAGTATGACCTTTCTTGTAGCAAATTTGACACACCAGAGAAGCGGTAGCAGGATTGCGAGGTTGAGATGCCATGTTGGAGGTGTTACGACCTCTGGGCCGGTGACCACGGCCTCTGTATGTGAACAAGGCTGTAGCATTATCGGACATAGGAGGAGCGCGAGCTGCGTCAGAAGCAAGATTTATCTCCTTACTTAGAAGAAGAGGGTAGAGCTGATCTAAACTGAGCGGAGTGAGCATTGTACGAATAGCGGTTTTGAAAGACTGATATGAGTGCGGAAGCCCATTGAGAATGTGGTGAATAATTTCTTCTGCGTCGACGGAGGATCCCGCCGCAGAGATCCCGCTGCAGCGATTTGATCAACGACTATTTTGATCTCTGAAAGATATTGAGTCATCGATTGGTTCTTGAGGGATACTTGATGAAGAGTGTTCTTGAGTTGAATGATCTTGGACCTGTTAGTAGCTTGAAAACGGTTTTCCAAGGCATTCCAAAGATCAGTCGTGGAGTCTAAAGATATGACATAAGGTAAGACCGATAAAGATATCATCGAGCAGATCGAAGCCGAGAGGTTCTGATCGTGTAGAAGCCACTGTGTTTGAAGAGGATTCAGAGATTGAGAGCCGTCGGTGTTCGTCAGAAACTGAGGAGAACGAGAAGCTGGATCCAAGAAGTGCCCATTCGCCCGAAGGATTTTCTGGATTTGAGATTTCAAGATATCATAGTTGTCTGATTGGAGTGGAGTAGTGACGAAATTTCGAAGATTGGAGACAACGAATTTCAAGGTGGTGGATATTTGTGTGTCGTCGGTGAGGTGTTGAATGACAGAGTCTGCCGTCTGGGAGGAAGACAAAGCCATGCTTCAGGATCGAAAAGCCTTTCTTGATACCATGTAGAAACAGAGAGCTAGAAAAGGAAATCTTGACAGAGAGAAACAGGAAAATGAAACTTTATTATTTCTGTCTCTTGATCCTACAATGCCGAGTGCCAACTAATATATAGGCATAGATAGAAGCTACAGGAATTAATTAACCAATGACAAGCCGACATCTATACAAGGCAATACAAAGCAGCTGTACGTCATCAATATGTTTATTAGTTCTAATAAGTTTGTGTTTATTAGAATGACATACTCCATAACGACCAACATAGTGTAATTTTCACATACATGCCGACATTGTTGAAGATGAAGAAGGGTTCTTTAGATACCCATATGATAAACTATCATGGTAGAAACTAACGAAGGACTTGAAGATGAATATTGCTTATTATTATGAATCCATTAATTATCTTGAAAGATAATGCCTCGGCCTACTACACTGTAAGTGGATGTGCAATATCACTATAGTATTGGGCTTATGAAGACATACAAGAGATAAGGAGATGTGTATAATTTCTTAAGAAAGAGCGCCAAAGATGTTGAGCTCATAGAGCAATATGATGCTGAGCTCAAAGAATTTCTTGTATAGGCTAATGAATAAAAATATATGCATATTATTTTAGACTACCTTACATGTTTGCCTTTAATTTATATAGCAATCCATTATATATAAAAAACTGTTTAGGGTAATTGATCTCCTTTAGCGGAGAGATTATTAGGTGCGGAGTGTGGACGGGGAGAACCGTCCGCACTAGCTTTATTCCGCGCTAGATACCGGCACTCGGTACCGCTGGGTACTGCTAGGTACCTATGTTTGTGCGGAGAGTACACACTCCCCACCTAATAATTTTTCCCTTTAGCGACATCAATTAGGTAATTGATGAGTCCTTTTCCGTGAATGGCTCAGACCTAAATATAGTTTAATGACATAAAACTAAAGCATCCCAACAAATCATCATCAAATCTCGCTTTATATTACATTAATTTTTCATCCATTAATTTCGAATTAAATAATAAAGAAAAAAACTTTTATTTATTTTCTTTCACGTGGGGCATAATTAATTTATGCGGGCAGCTTCAGTAGGGGGGCAACTATTCCTGTAATTTATGGCAGCGACTGACTAATCAGAGTTTGCATGCGAAATTTGCTTTCATTTCTTACACATCCCGACTGTCTTCTGTGAAATGGGCACATGCCATTCGACTTTGTGCTCCCTTGCATGGACTAAGAAATTATTATTACGTGCGATCACCGGATCGTCCGGAAGTAAATCAGAGAGCGCCACATCACCCAATACATAGCAGTACATAGCCCGATGCATAGAAAAAAGTGGCGTGGCGGTGGTGTGCTCTGATTTGCCTCCGGACACCATCCTATGATTGCACAGAATAAATTTTCCTATAGACTAAGGGTCTATTTGGGATGCCTACATTATTTTATAAAATTAATTATGAAATTATTGTGGAAAAATAATTTAAGAATCTGTTTGGCATAGCTGTAGCGAGGAAAATAACTTAACTAGTCTTGTTGTAAAAAACAACTTTGTATATAAAAAGCTTTTACAAAACAGAAGGTAAATGAAATTATGATTATTGTATAAAAAGCAAAGCAAGTAAAAAGTTATCACAAATATATTATTAGATATTCTCATTACAAAAAATAGGTCTTCGCTACGAAAATATATGAAAAGTAGTGAGAAAACAGTAAAAAATAACAGCTAAAATAAAATTACGATTGTTATCAGAAAAGTAAATCAGCAGAAAAGTTATCTCATATAGACCTTAAGTTTTCTACAATACGTACAGTGTGAATTAATAAGATTAACAAAAAATTATTCAAAATATATTTGAGAGTAGATGAGTCAATGAGAAACTTTGAACAAATATGAACTCTATGCAGAGATGATGAGCTGCTTTATTTTAAAAACAAAACGTGATGATTTATTAAATTATGAAAATAATAAGCAATCTAATATTATAAATCTTTCTCCATTTTTTCATAGTTTCTTTGTTTTAGAAGATGAATAGTTAAGAGAGAAAAGTGGTGTATTAAGTATAGGGAGAAAAAGAGTCAATTTAGCTATGCCTATCATTTTTAATAAAAAGATGTTTATAATTTTTTTTCCTAAAAAAAAAACATATTTTTACTTATTTGTAAAAATTTCATGACTAAAATGCAAATTTCTAAAACTAAAAGTGCAGTGGCCTAAAGTTTGGTAGGTAAGGTATTTAAGTAGCCCAAGTGGGCTGGCTTCACTCAATAAAATAAATTGAAAGATAAGTAAGTGAATATGTTTTGCAGTCAATTGCCCTTTCTTTTAGGCCAAGTGACCTTCCCTAAAGGTAACTTGCTCTCATTTATGATATTAAATTTCATGTTGTTGAAGTTTGAACTTTGAATGATACTATCACTTAGCAAAGAAATCAATTTGAGCTTATCTAAAATTCTATAAATTGAAGGGAGAAGAAATGACAAATAATTTAATGAAATACTTAACTTCATGTAGGAATGAGGAAGAGAGGGAGAAGTCAAATATCAATTGTATATTCTAAGTCTCTCTAAAGAAGAGTATTTATAAAATTATAAGAATATAATGACTCATCTAAACACCTAATAAATACTATATATCAATTAATAAGATCAATATTATAAATGTAGAAAATGCTTCGATAATTTGATCTTTTCTAAAACTCCAACGAGTCATCGGAGATGAAGAGACATGCAATTTGAGGACTCCTATAACTCCTACAAGTGGTCATTTATAGGAGAGAGGGAGTAATCAAAGCCTTATTCATTCATTTGCGTATCCTAATTGTTTATGAAGAGGATCATTGATATAGTTATAAGATTTTGAAGACTCATTTAATAAATATCTAATAGAAAACTAAGAAGTATTAGTTACATATATATGAACTTATAAGACCCTCCAACTTAACATATAGATATATATAGGAATAAAAATATTTAAATGACTATTTTATTTTTAATATTGTACACCCATGATTAAATGTGCAAATATTCATTTTCAGGTTACAATTGGGCCGATCGAAAGGAGGGTGCACTCCTCTTTCGGAATAGTTTGTTCGAGGGACTAACTTAGAAGATGGAAAGAGATTAACCCTAGAGCACGATGAACTATTATCGATCATATCCTCCATACAGTGTACTCCCCCCGAGAGAAGGGCAACCTCAGAAGTTCCTTCCTTAGCAATGCAAATCCTTATATATTTAAGCTAGAGCCAAGACTGCCATGTAAGATATATCAAATAGCCAACGACACACATTACCTCCTCGAAGATCTCTTCTCATGTTCATATATGGAGATCATGTTCGGGCGCTACTCACCCCTTTTACCTTAACAGAACAACCCAAACTGGCCTTCCATCTCACGCATGCCCATCCTCTAGACAACATCTAGACGACACTCGCTCCCTCTCATTGCAACGAGGGGACCTCAGATTACCATACAATATTGTTCGACTCACCCTACCAGATGTCGACCAGTTTAGCACTGACATAGTATAATTAAAGATCAATGGTACAACTTTGGATCATTTTGGAGGAAATGAGGAGGAACCGCAGGAGTAACTTATGTGACAACACATACCATGCATGCCAAAAGAAGCAAAGAGAGGAGAGATCCAGAAAGCATTGTATCATTTTTTTCTTGCATGGCCCGAGTTCCATAGCCCGCAACCCTTTCTTCGATTGTTTTTGTATCTCTGACATGAATAATAAAGATCTTGTATGAAATCATATTTCTCTCTTTCTCTTGTATTCTGACTTCATCACCTTCAGCTCTTCATATATAGCTCTCAGCCTACATGCAGCACATAGTATAATCTGACATCATCCATCAAATAAAATAGGATCTAACGAATAATTTTTTTTATCGTATAATAATGATGATTTGTCATGAGAGCTAGGTGTCATTATTTTGCCTTGTGTAATAGATGAGGGCGATGATATGCATAAGCCATAATGCATTGTACGAGTAATCATATAAATCATTTTGTTGGCTTACATCGATGGTGAAATTTAAGCTACTTCATTCTTACTCAACGTTTAAATTAATCAATGATATTGCTTTAAAAAATTAAATATGTGAACTTTCTTCATCAGAACAAATATTTCATGCATGCAAGATCAACGTTAGTTTTTGCACGATACAATGATGATGTTCTCTTATAATAACTATTTCACTTAAGATTATTTCAATTATTTGCAATTTTTAAAAGATACGAATACTGTTTTTTAAGATTATTGTTGTACTCTCCAAATACAGTTTTTTAAGATTATTGTTGTACTCTCCAAATATATATAATGATACGAATATAGTTTTTTAAGATTATTGTTCTATTATAATAACTATTTCACTTAGCATTTTTTTGATAAATTTATACAAAATATGGGCTATTTGGTGTCCTTAAAAAAGCAATATAGTGTAAAATAAATGCAATGTAAAAAAGAATATTTTGGAATTGTTTGAATAAGCTAAAGTAAATTTAGGTGAATGATTTTTTTTTCTTGAAGTAAAATACATGTAATGTAAAGTTTAAAAGTGTCGGCCTGTGACAGTAGAGGGTGACTGCGGTGGCAGTGGGTGGCCGCGGAAGTGGTGGCTGGTGACTAGTGGTGGTAGCCGGCGACGGGTGACAGTTGCAGAGAAGGGTGTCGTCGGCGATGGTTGCTAGCGGGCATGACTGTCGAAGGTGATGATGGTGGTGGTCGCTAGATGTCAGCAGGGCAGTGGTGATGAACGGAGGGTGGTGGTGGTGGCCAGTTGGTGGCGACGATGATGGTTAGACGCTAGCAACGAAGGTGGCATGCCAGTAGTGGCCGAGAGTGATGGTAGGAGGGTGGCGGTGAGAAGAGAGACGAATGGGAAAGGAGTGTAAACGAATGCTGAAGAAGAGAAAGATGTATATTGATTTCTTGTATACAGTATTACAGATACAATAGTATATATAGGCGTCTA